TACACATCTAGTTACTATGTAAGTACACAGGTATTAGGGCCACTTAATATAAAGTGGGACTGATCATTTTGCTCACCACTTTCTGAATCAAAATAGTGTTTTTTGATTGGCTATTGTATAGAACAGATGATTATGATTCCGTTATGAGTCAACATCTTTAATGTACTCTTTAAGAAAATGGTTCTAAATAGTGTCAGATTAGGGTTCTAGGAGATATGACATTTAAATAACATTTTAATAATTGTTTATTTTCATTAATATAATGATGTTGTTTTTACTCCTCTGTCTGCTTGGTCTTATATCTTGTAGCCTCTATTAGGAATTAAAGGGTTAGTTCACCCAAAAATGAAAATTCTGTCATTAATTACATTAATGTGCTGCGTCACACGGATACGTTTTCTACGTTGTTTACGCTTTGATTAATATCAATATTGCTGCCACCAGATTCCAAAAGAAGATAAATCAGATATAACAGTATAATAGTCACCTATATACTAAAAAGAATTGTAACTTTTTTTTCACAAAAAAGTTTTGAAAATACAAAAGTATGTCTAAAAATGGATGCATTATGCATGAAAATATTAACAGGGGTGCACATACGTTTTTTTCAGCCTAGTTCTCATGAGAGCACCTTGAGAACACAAAATAAAAAGTGAGTATTAAATAAAAATACAATTATTTTATAGTACACTTTAAAACTACAATGCTAATATGTACATGTTAATTTTTTATGAATTTTCGACATTTTCAATCCTAAAATCAGCATGTTTTTATTTTGGTGGGTTGCTGGTAAATAGGTGGATGCATTGTCTGTTTTAGCCGAGTGAAATGCGTTACTGAATGAAACGTCACAGTTTTACAATTTGCTCTGAAACCGGCAACACTTAGCCTAGATTTATGCTTTCAGTTTTAATGGAAATCTTATACAATATTAGTTACTCGACCTAAAACAGTGGTTGTGCATTAACAGCTGTCAACCATGTTGGTACGCAAATAAGCAACATATTTACCCAGTGCATTTTTTTTATTTTGGCCACGTGTGCACAGCTGCACACCACTTATGTGCACACCTGCATATTGGCATGCATTTTACATGAATGTCATAAGCTACAGTACTTTTTATCTGGCTAGAGTTGGCTACAGTTTTAGGAAAACATTTTGTCACAGAAATAGATTTCATCATGATGTTCAGCCATTAAAAGCAAAGCAAAGAATGTTTCTGAAAAGGACACTTCAAGAAACTCCTCCTATAGTGTCACATCTGCTGACCTTCTAAGATTAATCGAGTCAATCTGCGTATTTCTCCTTGATGCAGAGAAAGTTGAGTCTCCGCTCACAGTCTGTGGGTTTACAAACCCCCTGTGTTCTATCAAAAACCCCACAGCGTTGGTTCATGGCAGGGCACTGGATCTCTCCACCCGAAGACCAGACATTATAATCAAAACCGGCTCCGTTTACCCAAAACCAATGACCAGCTAGAAAGCGCAGGCCGGTCCACATTTCATCTGTATCAGCTACTGTGCTATTAATCTTTGCTTCTTCCATAATGTCTTCTGAGTTTATTATGGCCAGGTCAATGTAGTTTTGTCTGCAGTATTCCAAGGCCTCTTCCCATGTGCTTTTCTGATGCACCACAATCAGCTCATAGACCTTCATACAATAAAATCGTAAATGGGTTTTGCAGGGCAGGGCAAACAGAGTTAATGTGTTTTTATGGACAGCACCACAATAATAATAATAAGGTTGTCCATATGCCCAAAATGTAATGGTTGCTTCTCCCCCTTCTGACCATATCCATTTGTAATAGTCTGCACTGTCTCTCTGAACTCCAATCCAGAAATAGTCCTCTTTAATTAGAGAATTGGAAGATAAATCCTGTAAATCTTTACTTCTGACAGTAGACAGGTAATCAGAGTGCTGTGTGCAGTGCTTCTGTGCCTCTTGAAATGACAAAGTCTCGTTCACGAGAAAGTGATACCTGTAGACGCTGACATTCAGCCCAAAGAGGCTCAAAAAAAGCAGCACAATGACTGAAGCCTTCATGTTGATCTGGATGATCTCTAGTGCAGCAGCACAATTCTGAATAAATGTGGTATTCTCCATTTATTTCAGGATATTGCTGACTTGTTACCACACCTTTTCACAAATTTCTGGCATGAACAGACCAATGAAAACCAGGACCGCTCTGACATTGAGAGTGACCTTGACGTGGTATGCCCTTCAGTAATTACAAAAACAAATTTATTTTCCTAAAATGCCTACTTAAGGCAAATCAGATGGCTCAAGAAAAGGACACACTTACAAACACATTTAAAGCAGTTAAGGCATATGATATTGGAAATGTCTGGAAGAAGCCAAAAAAATTTTTACTTTTAAAATTCAGTTATCACCTATCCAGCTCTTCACTAGAATCATTAAAATATATGGAAACTATTTATTTTGTATGAAGTAAATGAGCATATCTTCTTTTTCTGCTTACTGTTAGAGTAACAGTAGATGGACACATCTGAAAACAAACATTTTCACTTCAATTCAAATTGATTTTTACAGTACTTTTCACAAAAATACTGTTCAAAGAAGATAAAATTAGAAGAAAATTACCTGAGCCCATGGTGAATAAGATGAAGAGGCTCAATAAGGTTTGAAAATAATATATTAAAAAATATATATTCAGGGCTAAACAGACCAGTATTCAGATTTTTACTGGCCCCACCACTAATAAAACAACTGGGTTTTACAGTTTAAATTCGTAAATACAGTACTTGTGCTGAAAAACACTGGCATCGATTTTTACTGACATTTTTACTGACAGTTCCAAAAGTCATTCCCATAATTTCAATAAAACTTAATATTTTTTAAAATTCCCCTGATCTGCCCTAAAAATCATTTAGTAGTTGACCATATAATAGTAAGTCTTCGCAGTTAAATACTGATAATATTTGTCTGTAGTGAAAACTGTAATTATATTCTGGCACATGTAATTATACTCACCAGTAGATGGCAGCAAACTATTAAGCGTTCATGGTTGCTGTGAAGAGATGAACCAAGGTCCAAATGTTCCACATTTATTCTCTTCAGAAATCATGTCAGATTAAAAACTGAATCACAGGCTTCCAAATCTTCTATCAGAATATAACTGCATCTATATCTATATTATTTAAAGGGATAGTTCACCCAAAAATGAAAATTTTGTCATTAATTACTCACCCTCATGTCGTTTCAAACCCGTAAGACCTTGGTTTATCTTCAGAACACAAATTAAGATATTTTTGATGCAATCCGAGAGCTTTCTGACCCTTCATAGACAGCAACACAACTGAAATGTTCCTAGGCCCAGAAATGTAGTAAGGACATGTTTTCTTGTTTTCAGAAAGTTCTTGTAGCTTCGTAAAATTACGGTTGAACCACTGATGTCACATGGACTATTTTAAAGATGTCCTTACTACCTTTCTGCACCTGGGAACATTTCAATTGCGTTGCTGTCTATGGAGGTTCTGAAAGCTCTCGGATTTCATGAAAAATATCTTAATTTGTGTTCTGAAGATGAACGAAGGTCTTACGGGTGTGGAACGACATGAGGGTGAGTAATTAATGACAGAATTTTCATTTTTTGGTGAACTGTCCCTTTAACATTCATATATTTCCAAAGAATAAAAAATATCTAACTATTTTTTATGTAATTGAAAAGTTGTCCTCACCATGAAAAATTGAGTTTTTTTATGTTGTTATAAAATCAACAAGTATGAATCAAAAGGACACACGTTCAGGTCAGCATCCAAATATGAACCAGAAATGAGCCCAACACCAGTCTCCTCCAAATGTATAAAATTCTGAATATCATATTACTCATTTAGCCATCAGTGCATTGGCTATAAATGATAAATAATGTTGTGACATCATTGTTTCTCTATTAGTATAGCCCAAAATAAACAATATTGACAAAATTGACCTTGAAATCACTTGCGTATTAATCAGTGTTATTTTAGCATCATTGAGCCTACTATAGTTTATTAATGCTTAAAAAGGTTTTTATATTTTCTATACAAGTTTATACAAGTTATACGTTTATAGTTTTTTTTATATCAATGTTTATTTCCGTTTTTGTTCCAGTTATTTTAGTGCATTAAAGTTAAACTAAATCAATATGGGATATAATCTAGAAATATTTTATTTTATTTAAAGTAACACAATTTCAATGGTTTTAAATTTCAAAGTATTTTAACCCTGGTATTACTTCACCAGATGTTTTGATTACAGAGTGAAAATGGGTACAACACAACTGGAAAGGGAAATTAGATTATCCACTTTAGACAGAATGAGTGACAAAACAAACTCAGATTTGCCTGAGAGTTACGTGAGATGAGGGCTTTTACAAATCTGCAAAACAAAACATGACTTGCAAGATCACGTTTTGTGTCCTCGCAGCATTTGAAGAATTTACATGCAATTTAGTTACGACACCCAGTTGCAGCATTTTACACTCACATAACAAAAATGTGTTTCTTAAAATTGACATTCATTGGAAATATCTACTACAAGTGTTAATATTCATTTATTTAAAATTGAAGTAACCACAAGCAGATAATGCATTAAAAGGACGATATCAATATTCGCATGAGACTTCACTCTACTGTCATTAATATTACTTCTCATATTTCATATTAGTTCTGAACTAAACTAATGTATTAAGCTACCTATTGCTTCTGATTAAAAGGACGATATCAATATTCGCATGAGACTTCACTCTACTGGCATTAATATTACTTCTCATATTTCATATTAGTTCTGAACTAAACTAATGTATTAAGCTACCTATTGCTTCTGCATCCCTTACATTTAATTTCATGTTTAGCCGTTAAAAGCAAGCAAACAAGGTACCTAGCAAACATCATCCCTATCAAAAAATTCCTATCACACAATTGTTTGTGAAGCTTCTAAGACAAATGTGCCATTGACGTATTTAGCGTATGACAGAGAAAGTTGAGTCTCCGCTCACAGGCGGCAGGTTTCCAAGCCCTCTGCTTTACATTATAAACCCCACAGCACTGATTCAAGGCAGGGCACTGGAGCTCTCCGCCCGAGGACCAGACCTTATATTGAAGGTCTGCTCCATTTACCCAAAACCAGTGACCAGCGATAAAGCGCAGACCAATCCACACATCCTCTGTCTGGGCTGCTGTGCTCTTTTTCATGGTTTCTGCCATAATCACATCTGAGCTCAGTACGGCCAGATCAGTGTAATGTCGTCTGCAGTATTGCAGGGCCTCTTCCCATGTGCTTTCCTGCTGCACCAGGATCAGCTCAAAGACCTCCATACAAAAAAATGGTATTGGCCAACTGCAAGCAATACTGTGAAATTTGCTGTTTTTGACACCGCCACATTGTTCACTGGAGGTTGGTTCTCCGATATCCCAACTGTCGATTGTTGCCGGTGTTCTGACAAATAATGCTACCGGCTCACCTGTAGACACATCCACATGCTCGTGTTTCGAGGATCTCTACGAAGTACGACATAAAATAAAGGCTGGGTTTACACTTGGCATTAACATGCGATCAAGCAGATCGGATCATCAGTCAATCAGAACACGCCTCGTTTACACTTGGCAACATCAACTGACTTTTCTATCTGGATAACCGACTGCATCTGTCTTTCCCGCGCAATATTTGAATAAGTCTGCGGAGAATGGCCTGGTCGCGGGACATTTTACAAATCAAAGATAAGAGTACGAGTCTCACTAGCGCTCCACACGGGTGTTCTCCATCTTTTTTTCTGACAGTTCTCGGAACCATTACCTTAACAAATGACAATCTTCAGCCAAGAAAATCTGATGGAATAAAGACAACACAAAATTCCTTCAAACAAACTGGTGAATCAAACAAATTGCATTTGGATTCACTGCAAATATCTAGACTACTGTTCAAAAGTTTTTGAAAGAAGTCTCTTATGCTCACCAAAGCTGTGTTTATTTGTTTAAAAACAGTAATATTTTGAAATATTAAAATTTAAAATAATGTTTTTCTGTTTGAATATATGTTGAAATGTAACTTTTTCCTGTGATGGCAAAGCTGAATTTTCAGCAGCCATAACTTAAGTCTTTAGTGTCACATGATCCTTCAGAAATCACATTTCTAATGCAAAAAAAATTCTTATTATCAATGTTGAAAATTATTATTATTACATTTTTATTTAACATGGACATCACAGTTACATTGGACAGACCATATGCACTTGCTTAAGTGTTT